CAGGACCAAACCCCTCCATCCTACCCCAAAATCCACCCGGGGCAGAACCAAACCCCTCCATCCTACCCCAAAATCCCCCCGGGGCAGGACCAACCCCTCCCCATGCCCTTCTGCCCCTCAAGCCCCGGCCGAGGCAGGCTCAGGCCGCAGCCCCCCTCTCGCCCTGCCCCGGGGGTCTCACCCTACCGCGGGGGTCTCGCCCTACCCCGGGGGTCTCGCCCTGCCCCGGGGGTCTCACCCTGCACCCCTCTCGCCCTGCCGCGGGGGTCTCGCCCTGCCCCGGGGGTCTCGCCCTGCCCCGGGGGTCTCGCCCTGCACCCCTCTCGCCCTGCCCCGGGGGTCTCGCCCTGCCGCGGGGGTCTCGCCCTGCCGCGGGGGTCTCACCCTGCCCCGGGGGTCTCACCCTACCCCGGGGGTCTCGCCCTGCCCCGGGGGTCTCGCCCTGCCCCGGGGGTCTCGCCCTGCCGCGGGGGTCTCACCCTGCACCCCTCTCGCCCTGCCCCGGGGGTCTCGCCGTGCCCCGGGCGTCTCGCCCTGCCCCGGGGGTCTCACCCTGCACCAGAGCGTGGCTGCGGTTCCAGATGCCGACGCAGCACTGGCCGGGGGGGCAGCGCACGGCGCCCGCCGCGCCCCCCGCGCCCCCCAGCGCGCCCCGCACGCTCGGGTGCTTGTAGGACACGCAGGTCAGGTTGTGGGGGCCTGGGAGGGGACACGCTCGCACCAGGGGGGCTCGAACCCCCCAGAAAAGCCCCCCCAGCCCCGCCTGTGCCCCCCCAGCACCCACCTGGGTGCCCCATGGGAGCCTCCGGGGGTCCGTGGGAAGAGGAGCCGAGCAGGAGCAGGAGGAGGAAGAAAAGGAGCAGGAGGAGGAGGAGGAGGAGGAGGAGGAGGAAGGTGCTGCCCCCGCATCAGGGAGGAGAGAGCCGGGTGCCTGGGGGGGCAGCCAGGCCTGGCCCCTGCCCTGCATCGTCACCCAAAGGCAGCTCAGTGCCCCTGTCCCCGCCGGCGCCACTCTGGCAGCGATGCACCCCTGCCACCCCCCAAAAACCGGCCGTGCCCCCCCAAGGGACCCCCCCGCAGACTTCCAGACAACGCCAGCGACTCGTGTTTATTACAAAAAGAACTCGTCGTTCCCCATTTACAAAGGAGCCCCCCAAAACTAACAGTTTCATCTAACTCTTTTTGTACAAAAAAATAGCACTTTGGGACCCAGAAAAAAAAAATCATCCACCATCCTCACCCTCCCCCCCAAAAAAAAATCGCCTCTGGGGGGGAGGTTTATGCATCAGCCACCGGATTTGTAAAAACCAACCCCCCTCCCCTTCCCCAAATTAAAACAACAGAGACAGAACGAGATCAAACAGGGAGAGAATTATTGCCAGTTTGGGGGGGCTGGACCCCCCAGGACCCCCCCGCTGCATAGAGAACCGGCCCCGGCCCCCCGGAATGAAGGGGTGACAGTGGATTAAAGCTGGGAGATGGGGGCAGCCTGGGGGACAGCCCCCGAGCCCCCCAGACCCTCGGGGGGCTCACCCCCAGCCTGTCACCCCCTTGTCAAGGCACGTTTGTGTTTTGTGTCCCGGGCATGGCTGGGGGGGTTTGGGGGCCGCTGGGGGGGCTTGGGGCGGGTGGGGGGTGCCAGGAGCAGGGTGGGACCCCGGTGCCAACAGAGCCAAAATGGGGCGGGGGGATCCAGCCGCCCCCCACCCCCGGCACTGGGAGCAGCGCTGGTGGTGTGGACCCCCCCCAAAATGCTCTGATCCCCCCAAAAAACCGCAGGGGAGCAGCGCAGGCTCTGAGCAGAGACCCCCGGGGGGCCCTGGGGTCCCCTGGCTCGCGGCTGCGTTTCCATAGGAAAGCCAAGCTCCTTCGGGACAATCCACGGGGAAGGGACAGCGGGGACAGCCCCGGGAGGGGACACGCCGGGGACATCCCAGCACCGGGTCGGGATCGGGTTTGGCACTTGATCCCCTCTGGGGACAGAGCTGGGCTCGGGGGGCGGCGGCGTGGGGATAAAATCACCAAATTGAGCATTAAATTAAGAAACCTCCTGTTTTTTGTCCCAATCCTTTGTGGGTTTTGGGCTGGGGGGGTTGAGGGCGGGGGGAGCTCATAGTGCTTCACAGGGTTATTAAAATACAAATGCTTAAAGTTTCCTATATAAAAATATACAAATGCAAAAATAGATATCGAGAGAGAGAGCCGGGGGAGGGTCTGGGGGGGCCGGGCCCTGCGCCCCCTCCTCGGGGAGCTTCTGCTGCCTTTGCTTTTTTTTACAAAATAAAAACCCAAATCAAGATTCCTGCTGGTTCCCGGAGCTCGGGGATGGAGACGGGGCAGCGGGGTCAGCTCCTCTCCAGAGGCTGTCCCGAGGGACTCCGGCACCTTCCTGGTGCCTGCCCCGTGCTCCTGGCTCTGCCAGAGCTTCTCCCGGGAAAGGGGAGCAGGAGGGTGGGAAGCACGGGCAGGAACATCACCCCAACGGCCCGGGGCAGGCGGGATGAACTCCTGGGCCAGGTGGGATGAATGCCCAGGGCAGGAGGGATTAATACCCAGGCAGGTGGGAACAGCCCGGAGCAGGTGGGAATAATGCCTGGGGCAGGTGGGATGAATCCCCCGGGCAAGAGGGATTAATTCCCAGGTAGGTGGGAATAATGCCCCGGGCAAGAGGGATTAATTCCTCGGGTAGGTGGGAATAATGCCCCGGGCAAGAGGGATTAATTCCCAGGTAGGTGGGAATAATGCCCTGGGCAGGAGGGATTAATTCCCGGGGTAGGTGGGAATAATGCCCAGGGCAAGAGGGATTAATTCCCGGGGTAGGTGGGAATAATGCCCCTGGCAGGAGGGATTAATTCCCGGGGTAGGTGGGAATAATGCCCCGGGCAAGAGGGATTAATTCCCGGGGTAGGTGGGAATAACGCCCAGGCAGTGGGATTAATTCCCGGGGTAGGTGGGAATAATGCCCCGGGCAAGAGGGATTAATTCCCGGGGTAGGTGGNGGTAGGTGGGAATAACGCCCAGGCAGTGGGATTAATTCCCGGGGTAGGTGGGAATAATGCCCCGGGCAAGAGGGATTAATTCCCGGGGTAGGTGGGAATAATGCCCAGGGCAGGAGGGATTAATTCCCGGGGTAGGTGGGAATAATGCCCAGGGCAGGAGGGATTAATTCCCGGGGTAGGTGGGAATAACGCCCAGGCAGTGGGATTAATCCCTGGGCAGGTGGGATTCATGGATCTGCCGTGATCCCGGGGGTTCTCCCCTCTGCACCCCCTGAGCCCGGGATGGGAGCGGGGAGCTCCCGCTCAGCTCCGTGCCCTCCTCCTCCTCCTCCTCCTCCTCGGCTCACAGCCCGGGGTCATTCCAGGGCCCCCCAGCCTCACCCCAAAGCTGCTGCTCGGGAACAATCCCAATTTCCCCTTCTGGGGATCCCCACCCCCAGAGCCCCCTCTGGGACGTGCCTGGGGCAGGAAGAGGAGGGTGTGGGAGGAAGAGCGGAAGGGACCGAGCCCTCCCACGGCGGGAAGAGCAGGATCCTGGAAAACCCTTTCTGGGTTGTTTTTAACAAGCTCTCCTTAGTTCCAGCACCCTTTTTTTTTTTTGTTTTTTTTTGTTGGTGCCACAGCAAAACCCTCGAGTGTCCCTCGTGTCCCTGCGGCGCTTCCCCCTCGCTCCAGACCGGCTGAGCTCCGCAGATTCTCCTTTTTCCCAATTATTACTATTATTATTATTAATTCCAATGCTGGCTGTAATTAATAAAATCAACTTTTCCCCCCCGAGCAGGCTCCAGTTGTCCCCCCAGGGCTGCGTGCCAGCCCCTCTGTCCAAGACCTTCCCAGGAGCAGCTCCACTCCCACGGGACGGGGAGCCTCGCCAAGAAAACGGCTGGAAAAACCCAAGATCCGAGAAAAAAAAATAAAAACAACACCTGCCAAGGCAGGGGAGGGCAGTGGGAGTCCAAGGGTGAAAAATCCAGCGGGATCTCCCCCGAGAATGCCAAAGGGATGACAGAGTCACCCCAGAGCAAAGCGCCCGACCGCCCGGGAGGGGTGAGGGGTTCTGGTGGGATCCGGGCAGGGAGGGAGAGCTCGGGCATCATCCCAGAGGGGCCGACCTGCTCCAGGATAAGGCATCAAAGGGACCACGCCATGGTCACAGCAACATCTCTCCTCTCTCAAACGAACACATTTTATATTTTTATATATATAATAATAATATAGAATCTTTTCTCTT